CAGGTCTAGACCGAACTCCTTTTGCCATCTAGTAAAAAGGCATTTTGTAGCATTATATAAAATTGTATGTCTATTTTCCTGTGTGTGTTCCTGTTGTCATTTTTTTCACTTCTTATTCTTTCATTTTACACCTTTTCTCTTCCAAATGATCCCTTCTTAACTTTCATCACTGTAACATGTCCTGCTGGACAAATAAAATTTATTCCAGCGTCTGGCCACAGCCCTGCTCTGCTTCATCAGTAGTCAGCTACAACCAGCAGTGTTACGGGTTTGCCTTCATACGCTGCGTATCTTGTCCCGCGACCGGCGGGCCCTAGCGCCCCTGGTCACTGATAGCGCCCTTTCCACCTTGGTACACCTGGGAGGCATCAGTTTACTGCAGCCATGCCCACAGCAACAGGAGGAAATAACTGAAGTTCATTCAGCCAGAACATACAGCCAGATCCACAGAGGAGATGCAGATGCTGCACAAATGTCTGTTAGCTCTGTGGCTTCTTTTTCCACTCCGGTGAAAGCAACTGGTGCTGCCATCACAAAGGGCTCAGATCACTGCTATAAATGGATGGATGATGGAGGTCACGTGGTGCTTTCCCGTGGGAAGAAGGACATGTGGGAAGAGAACCGTGAGGAGGAAGAGAAGGAGGATGATGGGGAGGTGTGTAGGAAGGAGGCCGTGAAAGTCTTGTGTAATGTCATCTACAACAGCCCTAGGGCACAGGAGAGGGCCAGCGCACTCAGGTGACACTTTTTAAAATGGGTAAACTTATTCATAAAATATTTGAACAAAGGTTCAGCTGTTATTAAAGGTCATTACAGTTGAAGTTACAAGACACAAAGCCTTGTACTGTAGTTTTTGCTGCTCCATGTCAGCAAGTGCCACAGTGGCTGAGTTCCAATAACTGATTCCATTTTGAAACCAATTCCAAGTCCAAAAAAATCTGTTCTCAAAGCTTTTATCTATTCTCTATTTTATTAGATCAGTGTACAAAACTTTCAGGTAGCTTTTCATTTTTTGCTGGTGCTGACAGTCACTTTGGTCTGTAAAATGACACATCACCAACTGCATGTTATACCAACTGCTGTTAATTATTGGTAACCTGTTGGTTGGCATTGGCCTCAGTGATGGAGATGGAAGAAGGAAGGACAGAGACAGAGACAAAGGTGCACAACAACAGTAGCAGCAACTATACTAATAGTTGTAGTACAGGAAAGAAGGAAGTTGGCCAAAGTTCCAAAAGGGACTTAGGAATGGTCCATTTTAATTTGTTGGCCATTAAAAATATAATTATATTAAATAATATAATAAAGAAAAATAAAACCAACAAACCAAAATGGTACATTTAAATGGTTTCAGAATTTTACATGATGCCAAGTGGCACTGCAACATGTTTATCTTTAAGGCATCACATATGAACAACAGCATTAACCAACCCATTATCACAACCCTTTGGATCCCTAGCTAAAGTTGTAAAGAACCAGTTCTTGGGCACTTACAGTCTGACATGGATTGGTATTAGTTAACTGGCACTTGGATATATAGAAATACAGACTTCACCACTGTCTATTGACTGATATCATGAGGAATAGAGAATGATTTAATGATCCATTTCTATTAGAATAATATCAGGTGTTCCTTATAACACAAAATTTAATATCTGAATGATGTTTACCAGCTGCTGACCAACCCCTGGCCTCACTTTTATTTTCATTCCTGTTTCCACTGAAGAATCCTACACGGTCTGTGGGAAAGTCTGAAGCAGGGGATCTGGAGCAGGGTACCATCCAGTGGCCAGTTTTACAAGCTGAGACTGCTCTTCTTACTGACAGCTCTGAGACCTGAGCTCAGGCTGCAGCTACAGCAGGTAAACTTATTTTAAAAACTATGGAAGGTCATCGTGGACAGAATTATGTTTTGCATTGTAGAAGGGGTAAGCAACCTGCGGCTCTAGAGCCACATGATGCCGCTCTCCAGTGGCTCCCTGGGGCTTTGACAAAAAATTTGTCAATATTTGACAACAAAGCAATGAGACTCAACAATCAATTATCTTTTTTGGCTCTTATTGGTTGTTTTCATTCAGGCCTGGTGGATTCTCACAAATACCATTAGTAGCACCAGGAGATTTCATAAGCACTGCAGACTTTAAAAAATACATAAGTCACAAAAGTCTCAATAAATGTTAAAAAAACATGTTCAGATACAATTGCAGATGGCATGACTCACTCTGTGAAACTTTTTTCCGTCTCACAGAGAAGACTGACAGATCAGTGGTTTACATCTTCCTCAGTGCTCAGTGTTTGTTTGTTTTTTCCTGTCAGGAGCGTGGAGTGTCAGTGCTGACTAAAGCCCTCGAGCAGTGCCTGGCTGTGAGGTGGGGTGAAGGATATGAGGTTCTTACTGATAGCACAGCTCCTCCCATCACCAAGGATATGTCCCAGGAAGTCATCGAGATCCTCAAGACACTCTTCAACATTGCTCACAGGTTTCACAGGCAGGAGCCAGATGAGGTGACCCCTTGAACCCAAAAATAAATTAATTAATTTGCGGTTTGCTAGTTGCATTGACCTCTATTCTATAGTACTGTTGAACTGTGTAGGCAGTAGGCAGTCATCACACCAGTTGGATCAAAGAAACAAATGAAACACACATTGTTCACATCCTATTGGTAGATTTGACAATTTAAGTGAGAAATTGCTTTCTTCCATTGCAGTCCATTTGAGATCTGAAATCTTTATCTTTGCTAGCTACATATGGATGAAAAGAAAAATCCATTTTATTACAACATTGGTTTTATTTCCATTGTTTGTTATGTAGTGTTGACCGATCATATTTTTATTGTTACAGCGATATGAACATGCACAATAAACACGACACAAAGGACTTCCTGAAACATTATGAATAAGAAATTTTTTTTTATCTACATGGGACCTGGGTACATGAGCCATGGATTTACGCCATTTTATTTCTTTATTCAGTGGGTACGGGCTATTCAGTGTTTGGTGTCTATGATAGCAGTGTTCATTCTAAAGCATAAAGATTAACTGTAAAGCTTATATGCACACATTTATTTTTTTAGTATAAGTCATATCGTCTTCGCTTTTTTGTCTTTAAATTACATAGCAATGCATACCATCCTACTGTAACTGCAGATGTGCAGCCCAGCACCTTCAGTGCTAGTCCTTTCTATATTAAAACAGATAGTAAGGAGATCAGGGTGGTGGATGGTAGTGCAGTGTGTCCAACTTCCATGTGGGAGACTGTATTTTGCAACTTGTGAAAGTCCAACCAGAGCTCATGGGTTTGGGCCTTGCCTCAAACGAGAAGCTCCTAAAACACAGCATCCTTCATTTCCCATAATGCAACTTGACAGTGTCTTTCATTAGACCCCCCCTTTTTTTTTTGCTCACTCAACATCCCTAGTCTTTCTGTTATGAATTTGTTGTTTCATCATTAGTTAGTTACACTACTAAACAAACATTGTGTAACAAACGTTACACAGGCTCAGCAGTGTTAACCATGACAAGTACACCAACCTTTATGTGTAAAATGTGCCCTTTATTTTTTAGGAGGAGGCTGCTCTGTTTCGCCACCTAGCAGCTGTGCTGCGCCACTGCCTGCTGCTGTCATGTGATGGAGAAGACGTGTTGGAGGAACTTCAAGGGTCAGACTACAGCTTTAAGCATAACTACGTTTATTTGACAAAATCTTAAAGGCTCTGTATGTAATATTCTGAAGCACGGTACGTATTATTTTTTATGTATTAATCACTTTTTATTGCCAATTAGTGAACGGGTTGTAATGTAATGTAAAAAATGAGATCACGCTGCTGAGTGCCCTCTCTCTCTGCTTCCCTGCAGTGTCAACTATGTGCAACACCAGCTAATGTTAGCTTATAAGTGGAGTCCGTTAACTTGTAAAATGACAAGCACCCACCAACAGAGTCTAAAGTCAAAGATAACATTTCTGCAAAGCTTGTGAAATACACTGATTAGCCATAACATTATGACCACTGAACACTGATTATCTCCTTATCATCCTGTCAGTGGGTGGGATATATTAGGCAGCAAGTAGACATTTTTTCCTCAAGTTGATGTGAATGGGCAAGTGCAAGGATTTGAGTGACTTTGAGAAGGGACAAATTGTGAGGACTGGGTCAGAGCATCTCCAAAACTACAGCTCTTATGGAGTGTTCCCGGTCTGCAGTGGTCAGAGGTGTCAATCAAAAGTGGTCCAAGGAAGAAAAAGCGGTGAACTGGAGACAGGGTCATGGGCGGCCGAGGCTCATTGATGCACCTGGGGAGCGAAGGCTGGCCTGTGTGGTCTGATCCAACAAACGAGCTAGTGTAGCTCAAACTGCCAATAAAGTTAATGCTAATTCTGACAGAAAGGTGTCAGAACACAGTGCATCACATTTTGTTGCGTATGGGGCTGCATGACACTATCAGGGTGGTCATAATGTTATGGCTGATCGTTGTATAAATTATATGATTAGTTTAAGCTATCTAACGTTAACTTGCTTGCTAATGATGATAAATTGCCAGATAGCTAACATAGCAAAATACTAGTCAGCTAGCTTCATCCAAACTCCTGGGGCTAATTTGGCTGGTAAATTGACATACTTCCTGTTTGCAGGTTACTTTGTCGCTTGACGTTTAGATGCCAGATAATGTGGCTGGTTATGACAGACAGTGTTGTAACAGTACAAAGCGAATGATTGCTTTCTACTAGACAAAAGTGATGCGAGGCAGGGGCATCCAACAAGCTAACTGTAGCCTAAACTAAGCTGGGGTTGGCTTGCGCGGTGTGGGTCTGGCGTTGGTTGCTTTGTGGTGTTGGCTGATGAGGTAATTTGTTAATAGCAAGCTAGTTTGTTGCATGAAGTCAGTGGTCCACATAAAATATAGTAACACTGCAGACAGTAGCGTTATTCTAAATATGATTGTAATTTATTTCAACGTTAAGTCTAGTGTATACTTAACATTTTTGGCCGATGCCCAGAAGGATGCTTGATGCTGACTGCAATTCACTTAACAGCCATTTGTTTCACTATTTACAATTTTCTTCTGAGAGTTACATAATAAACCTTCAAATGGATGACATAATCTACAGTATGTCCACCTGATGTAAAAGATGGAACTGTAACTACATAAGCCTACAAAACAGATAAGGGAGCCAAAGTTGATACCTTAGCTAGCGAAACATAATATTTTATTATGTTCTTTCCATAGACATACAGTTAATGTCCTGTCAGCACTGCCATTGACATGTCTGGATGTCCTGCTATCTGTCCATGTGGACCAGGCTTCCCACAGGTGGGAGGGACTAAACATGGATTGTGTCCACACATTGCTGCTATTTATGGACCAACGCCTGAACAGGGCAAGTGTGTGTAGTGAATACTTGATGTCATCGTCCCTGAATGATTACTTATAATACTTGTATACTTGTGTTTGGAGAAAAAAAACAATGTATGTGAAATACTGATGTATTGGAATGGAGTGCACTACTAATAGGAAAGCAAAGTCAAGACTTTCAGTCTTAACTAAAATAATTATACCACTATTATCCCCCAAAACTAAGACTTATAAAAAGGAGGCCAGCCATAATTTTCTTTACTTATTTGACATAATACATAATACATAAATATGTAGTAATGTGAATAAAAAGGACTGTGCCTTTTACAGCACCACTTTTCTTTCTTTGATAACAGATTTTCACAACATGCCACACAACCTTCTGATTAGTGGACAACCCATTCTACTTCCTGAGCCACATCAACAAAATCTACTACCTTTTACTGAAAAAAAAGCTTGGGAACCTGGGATATTTATTGTTTCTGCACTAATTTTTCTGTGTGTGCCAATGTGATCACAAGTTAAAGACTATATGGGCAGAAACAACGTAGCTTTTTCCAAAGTGTAATAACTTTATCACAACTGCCATAGCTAAACATTGCAGTACAACCTTGACATTCAGTTATAGTAATAGAAAACTGAATCATCTTTTTAGCTTGCAACTGTTCCTATAATTACTTTTCATGCTAAAATGGTGGGTTGCAGGCAATTGTAGTCTGCCCTGACTGCTCATATCCTTCTCAGAAAATAAGGCAATGTCAAACTGAAGACTTCAGTGGTAACAAAGTGGTCGTTCACTCTAAATATCATTATATATTGTAGGAAGCACCTATGTTGACACGTGAAATGAGGTGGAATCATGCTATTTCAGGTCTTATTTATTTACACTGGTTCCTGTGAAACATTAATGTGTTGTCATACAGGGTCACAAGCTGAAGGAGAAACTAACTCCTGTACTGAATCTGTTGACTGAGAGTTCCCGCGTGCACAGGGAGACACGTCACTACTTACGACAGAAGGTAATGTATTTTTTTCAAATTTAATTGTGTGTGTGTGTAATTGAATTACTATGAGCAGTACTGTAGCCCTCATAAAATATTTAACCTCTACTGTAACAGTGATTTAATACTGCTAAGAAAATAGCAAGATACAAAAGCCCACCCTGGGCACATTGACGCTGGTAGTTTTGTTCTAATCCCAGTTCTAATCCCTTTGCCTGAAAGGGAGTAATAAAAACTCAAACCCAGGTGTGTACCAAGAAGCTGGATCAGTTTCAGTCAAACAATTAGAATCATAATGCAATTCATACTGTCATAGATGTTCCATGATATCATCATGAAGGCCATTCAATAAAAAATTAGTATGTGTGTGTGGTTGTGTATGAGGTAACAGAATTGTCATTATACTCCTAACATAACATGCACTACTCCTACACTGAAAAAGACAGTAAGCTGCACCTTTTCTGCCCTATGGTCTCTTTCCATGACCATCAATGACTGAACCTACCTTTGCACGACTCATGAGTGACTGTAGTCTGGTTACAGTACTAATGAGCTTTCATCTGACCCAACCTTTGGCCCAGATCTTACCTCCACTGAGGGACGTTGCCATCCGACCTGAGCAGGACACAACACTGAGAGGCCAGCTGGTCCGCCTGATGACCCACGTTGACACAGATGTGAAGCACTGTGCTGCTGAGCTGCTTTTTGTGCTCTGCAAAGAGAATGGTACAGTCACAGTTTACCACAGACTCATTTACTTCCATGGCAGGAACACCCAGTTTGGAAACATTTGCCTATAGGCCATGATCAGTCATATTGTACGTGAGTGCATATTTAAAGGTCCTGTGTGTGACATTTGTGTGATGTTTTCATTAGTGTTTAATAACCAGAATATATTAATTATTTTTTTGTTAGCTTACAATGAGCTGTTTTTATCTACATATGCCGTGGGTCACCTTCCATGGAGTATGCCCTGTTAAACCGTCATGTTTCTAGAGTGGCCCAGAAGGGACAAACCAAACACTGACCAAAATAGTTTCCCATTTGTGCCTGGAAGGGGAAGGTGAAGTGAGGGAGTTGCAATCTGCAACTGCACCACTAGGTGCCACTAAACCCTACTCCAAAGCCGGTCAAAGGGGACTAGGGTGAAAGCTCTTATGGTCTGATCAAAGGAGCTTTTAGAACTGTGAAATTTCAGCGTGAAATCAATTCATCATGATAGAATCGCTGTGACACACATGAAACAGCTTTAAAAAATATGCATCAAGAGACCATCTAAACTATAAACAACTTCATAAGTCCACATGAAATTGGAAATCAGAGTGCTTGATCAGGGAATCAGCTAATTTTAAATCTACAAGCTAACTAAACTAGCTAACGACATCTAACATGACAGTTCAATCAATCAATCAATCAGACTTTATTTGGATAGCACATTTCATACAAGCAAAACGTAACACAGTGCTTCACACATTAAAACAAATAGGGGTACAATATAACTGAGGATGCAATCTTAAAGGGTAAAAAATTTCACCTGGACTTTAAAAAGTTTGAAGCACTAAAGTTTACGTCTTGTGTCCCTTCACAGTCAGCCGCTTTGTCAAATATACTGGTTATGGCAATGCTGCTGGACTGCTTGCAGCTCGGGGACTGCTGAATGGAAGAAGGAACTCAGGCGACAGTCAGTATTCCCAGTACTCTAGTGACTCAGACTCAGATACAGAAGAATACCGGGAGGCCAAAGCCCGGATTAACCTGGTGACTGGCCGGGTGGAGGCAGAGCAGCCTGACCCAATGGAGGGCATGAGTGAGAAAGAGAAAGAGGAGGAGGCACGTCGCCTCGTCAGCATGATCAACAGACTATCACGGTGAGTGCATGTCATTACCCATAATGTTGGACAAATCCAAAGAGAAACTAATTAGATGCTACACTCCCCTCCTCTGTCTTATGCAGAGACCAGATCATTCAGCCGATGGGTGTGACAGCAGAGGGGAGACTGGCTCCACTCTGGGGCCATATGAGGGGCTGCACACTGGAGGAAGAGGAAGATTCAGAGGAGGATTTGGATCTGATGCCAGAGGGGAGGAAAGACAAACAGATGGAGTAGAAAGATATAAACGTGGAGCAGTATACTGGACAAGAGAGTGAAAAGTCTTCTTGCTTCACCCCTTATTTGTAGTTCAATTAACCACTGTACAGTATATAATTTCTGCCACTAGGAGGTCTCTCACATCAAAACAGTACAAAAAGACAAAGTTTGATGACGTAGTGAAGTAGCATCTGATCATAGGAGTTGTTGTCTTCACCATCATTGCCGTCAGCTTCTCCTGGTTAGAATTCCTTCAGGAGGTTTCTACGCAGAGCTGAATTATCCACAGAGGTCTCCTCCTCTCCAAAACAAATAGTCCTCTGATTAAAACTAGTAAAAACACTGAATAAAATAGTTCCATCTTAAAAATCAGTGTTTCTTCGTTGCTGTTTAGTGGACAAAAAACACCAAAAGAATGTGCAGGGTATAAACGTGGCTTAAAACTGGATAAAACATTTTCTTTATGAAGACCGGTAAACCATTACCTGAATACAGTGACAGATTTCTGTGGGTTTGAACAATGTTGGAAACATTTGGGATAAAATGTAATGATATAAGTACACAACTCAAAAACATATATAACATAGGTGTAGAGCTTATATACATTTCAATGTGGAAATGTTATATAATAACTGGAATTCTTCCTTAAACATTGAGGCACTGTTATAGTAGATGCTACATCATATGGTTGCAGGCATAATTGTTTCTGAGCTTTGAATCCACTATGCACTGAACTCTGAGAGATAAGCCAATAACTGCAGCAGGGTGTAAACACATCAGAGAGAAAGACAGGTATGTGAAGGAGTGTGACTTGGAACATGGGACAGGCTGAGCCAGTGAAGACAAAGAATTTGAACACTATTTTGTCAGTGAGCAACATTTTTGTTATCTATGGTATTTTTGTTGTTAGACAACTGAGCACATTTGCAAAGAAATTTATATTATGTGTCAATGATGTGGATTCAAACAAACAAGAAAACTTTTAAAGTTGTAAGCTACTGACTTTTGTCTCATGCAAAAACTAATAAAAAATAAACTTTCTCAAACTAAGCATCACAAGTTCCCAAATCCTGTTCTACTGTACATATCATAAACTGTTACATTCACATGCAGAATTGAAGATGAATTTTAGAAAGTGATTTAAGATGATATTCCAGATTGTGCTAACCTCAGATCCTTAGACAGGGCAAGCCAAAACTGGGGGACCTTGAGTGCAAAAGCTCAGTCTCCTTGAACAGGGACTTAAGAACAGCTGGAAAGGCCATGCCTAGATTAGATGTATAAAATCTTAAAATCAACTCTAAAACAGACTGGTAGCCAGTGAAGAGAGGCTAAAAAAGGCTTGGTATGATTGTCTCTTTTAAATTATTATAGGCCGAATAGCTACATTTTGTTAAATGAAGGCATCATACAGCGTATTGCCATAGTCAGAGAGAGACAAAATAAAAGCAAGCAGGGACATGTGCAGGCATTTTGAGGGTCTGTTGCTCTAACCTGAAAAAAGGAAATAGTTTTCAATTTTAATGAAATTAAAAACTATTCAATTCAATTCAAT